AGGAGGGCGGCGGGAGCCGGGGGCAAGAGGAGGACCATGCAGAGCCAGGGGTGCGGGGCGGGACGCGGAGTGGGGTGGGGGTAGGGAGGGGGATGGTCCGCGCTGCGAGGGGAAACGCGATTATTTCATTATCCCCGCGTGGCACAGCCGGCTGCTGCTAACCGGGAGATAAACAGCCCCGTGACTCGCCGCGGGGGAGAGGGCGGGGGAATGTTTGCCCTGGGAAATGTCTGAATGTGTTGGAACATATAATAAAGGTGTGCAAATACTAAAGTTGAAAGGGAGCGCTAGACTGTGCAGCGCTCGTCCCACGCCTGCTCCATTCGTAACACGACATAACACGAAAGGGAACCGAGCTGTGGCCGAAGACCAGTGGCGCGGCCATGGCCTCAGTTCAGCCCCTGCGGGACACGGACGGCGGGAGTGGAGGGGCCCCGCGCCGCCCCCGGGCGCTGGGCAGGAGCCTCCCCCTCAGGCGCTCGCGGGCTCCCCAGCGCCAGGCTGCACCTTCCTGTTGCACTGCAAACTACAAGGGGTTGTGGATCAGCGGTGTAACATATCTCAGAGCTCCAGTGTATGTTTGATTTCCTAGAACTGTCCTTTTTAAGTGTGTGCTGAACATTTTTTGTTGTTGTTGCTGTTGGTTTGTTTTGCTCTATTTTTGTTACTGTATTGTGAAAACGTTCTCTCTCTCAGGCAATTTATTTATACTGTGTACTTAAGTCTCAGTGGCTACTTGCAGAGGTATGTTTCAAAAGGGTGATGTGCAAGAAGGCTTTTTCTCAGAGGAAAAAAAAAAAGATTATAACCTTTGTTTTTTCCTCCTGGACCTTCTGTTTACATTGATTCCTTTCACAGACTTCTCTTTCCTTTTGTCTTTTCCTCCTTGTCCCACAGACCTTTCAGAATCCAGATGGCTGTTCTTACAGATAAAGGGCGCTTTCTTACTGACAAATAACCGTGGCCAAAACAAAGACTAACTTTCTTATTTGCCCTTTAAAATGATACCAGTGGAGGCTGAGGTGAAACAAGAATTTAGGCTTTTTTTTCTGTTCTTGACTACATCAGTTAGCACCGAACTAATAAATACAGGGGCCAGTAACAATGGGCCCCTGTAACAGTAACAAATTGCTTCTCCACCATAATGCTAAATCATAATGTTACTAATTACAACTAATGGAGAAAAAGAAAGAAAACCTACTCATGTCTATTAATTGCTAGAATTTTTAATAAATCCAAGCAGAGTTAATAGTAGGATTAACTTACTAAGGCATCTAGTTTTGTCGGGGCTTGCTAAGGTTCCTGGTTGCACTGTGTCATGAATTTTTCTTAGTAAAAAACATCAGGCCATTTTGCAGATCATTCCCATCAAAAAATGCAGAAATTAAATGAATGTATAAATAATATCTCAATAGGGTCCTGATCCAATGCCTATTGAAACTATAGAAAGATATCTATTGACTTCAATGGTCATGGGTCAGGCCCTTTTGGTTTAAAAATAATTGCTAATGTGGAAACTGTTACATCCGTATTAAATCATTTTGTGAAAAGCTTTACAGTTTGTATTATTTCCGTCCTTTTATTTTTCAGTGGCCTGCTCATTTAAAAAGAACCTAAAGGATAACTCTTACAATATTTATTAACATTTCACTGAAAACAAGCTTTAAATTGGTTTTAAAAGAGATGAAAATTATGCCGTAGTATTTTTACATCTTTAGAGTTTAATTTCAAATCTTGATCTTTTTTTCCTTAAAAAAGATTTTAATCTAGTGCTCTTACACTGTCATTTTACCCAGAAATACTGTAATGCAGCATTGGCTTAATAAACAGATATATTGTAATCTGCAATCCACTTTTTACTGTTTCCATACAACAACTAGCTGGGCTTAATATTATATACCTATAAAAGAGTATCAAGAAAAAGGTTAATTACATGATATTCAACTTTGGTAAGATATGGAGTAAAGGTTTGGTTTGGTTTGGTTTTTCTTTGTTTGTCTTCATACAAAAATAAGGCAACTTGTAGTGCCATTCTATATAATTATATGCTAAGCTTGCAGACAGACCCACTGTGATTTCAGCTCTCCCAAATTAAATAAAATCAAACTGTGCTAACACTGGGACAGGAGACCACCCATGGTGTGGCAGCAGAGGGTGCTATCAACTCAGAAGATGGCACTTTTTCCTCTTTATCGGTTACAAAGTAACTCAGCACCAGTTAGCATAGCAGCGGAGTTACCAGCCAGTGCACTCTGGATAAAGCACTCTTCCTTTCTTATTCTAAATGAGTATTTGCTATTTTTCAGCTCTAATGTCTCTGCACTGTGGTGGTAGGTAAAGTGATCAAAAGCTGTGTATCTCTGTAAGCTTGCTGTGAAATGAAAGGCCAGGCCTTTTACATTCTAAATAACTGAGTAAAATACCTAAGGGGGGAAAGTGACTTCAGGATCTGGTGTGAAATGTATAAGAAAAGACAAAGCATTATTTCCAATGTTTGGCAAATGTCAAATAAAATTTGTGAACATTTCATATAAAAATGATTCAAGGATTCAAGTAACTATTGCCTTCAGTAGGCACTTAAGAAAAAAAAAACACTTTATCTTCAAAAGGCATAAATACTGTTTAAAATTTAGTATGTGATGGGGTTTTTTTTAAATGTAGTAACATCTCATGAGTTTCATCCAAATCATCCAATGTGTTGACTTAGAATCTGAATATTTTTAATTAATTGCACATTTAATTACTGACACTGGTTTGGTTAAGTCGCACACAGATATATGTGATAGTTTTTAATAGTGTGAGGTCGGTAAGTGCCCTGGGTTTTCATTTCTCATATATCCACATACAGGGGGGAGCACAGATTTTCTTAGCATGTTTCAGACACCACAACATTGCCCTGCTTAAAGATCCCACAAAGGAGGACCAGGGAGAGAACATTTTTCCTCCTCTGGATGTGCTACAGGGGTATAGCTATAAACCATATACTCTGTGAACATGTATCTGGTAATCTTTGGGGCAACTGCAGCCTTAAGCTGGCTGGCTGGAGACAGAGTTGGTGAAGAGACATAAGGCAATTAGGTGGGTAGCCTGGCCTCCGTTAGAGCACCTGGGTTTTGCATAACAGTGGGGATCTGACAGATCTGGAGAATTTGTACATGTGTGATTCCTACGTACCTGAGGGAGCCATATGCAAGGTATTCACCTGGGGTGCAAGGTCTTTATATACATTTTGGTCCACAGAGCCTATCAGGTGGCTTTTTCCACAAGAGGGAAGGGAAACTACAATTCTGCTGGGTCACTTGTTTGAATATTACACATCCATTTCTGAAATATCACTTTAAAACTTACACAGATATAACAAGTTTTAAAATAATGTTTTAAAATGTGAAAGTAATTGTAAATATTAATAGTATAAACATTTTCCTTTTTAATGTACAACTATGACAACCAGACTAAACATATACACTTATTAGCTTCAAATCTTGACCAGTTTACCAAAAATCATTGGCCTGCTGCTAAGACAGGCAAGGAAGACTGATCTCTCAATGCTATTTCCCAATATAACAATGTACAACTTACAGAACACCTTAAAATTCATCAACCCTCCCCCCTTCCCAAATGGAACAAAGAATCAGCTCTTTTCCTAGGATAATCACTTTTTTCAGTTTCTGTGACCCACAGCTCTTGGAAGGCTTACTTGCCTCCAGGGTGTTGTAGCTGAGCATGTGATTCATGAATCCCTAGGGAAGAAAATATTTCCATAGCAGTATGTATTCAGTGCTCCGACCTTCTCCAACACAGAATCTTACTGGGCCACTCAGACCACGCTTAAACCACAAGAAAAAAGAATAATTCAACAATTAAATTTCTTCAAACAAAACGCTTCCAAATATTATATATTGTGGGCAGGAGTAGTGGAATAGGATAGGGGACAAAGAAAGCATATTAAAGGATTTCATATGACACTGACTTATAAACCTAACAAAATGTTCAGAATAAAATTGTGGTTTCACAAGAAAATGTGTTTCTTCCCCATGCCAAAATCTAAAATCACTTTTGGAAGAGAAGTTACTAGCCATCAGTGCTGACTGAATAAAAAAGCATGATGATATAGCTGTGCTCTTTGCATCAAACCTGAAAATTTAAAAATCTTACCATAAAACAGAATTGACTACATTACTTATTGCATGGTCTGTTTTTGTGTATGTCCTGGGATAAAGTCAAGTTTAGATTAGTTTCAGTGTACTGGTAGCCCCAGCTGTGCTTTTTAAAATGTTTCTTATATTACACTTAATATCTTAATATCTGAGTTTACACTGTACAGTCCCTCTGTGAGCCAAGGAAGTTCCTAATCAGGCGGGTATTAATTCCATTTGTACAATAGACAACAATCCTGATCAAGTGTTTGGTTTGATATTGGAAGAGTTATTTGGTGATCCTAATTTTTAAGAGATTCTGAGCATCATCAGTTTCAGCTGATCTTAAAGGGCACTGTAAGTGTTCAGCACTTTCAAAAATCATGCCCATTGCACAGAATATTCCTTCCTTCCTTGAAACTGAGAATAAGACATACATCTCCCCTTGAGGTAAAGAGCGATATTGAAGGCCTGGCCTTGGAAATGAAGAAACTCTTTTTGGCAAATTTGTTTATTTAATGTATATATATCTTGGTTAGCATGCATTGTAATGAAAAAAACAGGGTACTAGTTGTTAGGGTGCCAGCTAAGGCTCAAAGG